GCTCAGCATATATCAGCAACGTGAATGTATCATCGATTTACGAATGAAGGGATTGGTTGTTTTTATAGTCTGCAGGAAGAGAATTTTAGAAATTCAGACATAACAGCATAGGAAATCGGTTTTTTCTATAGTTTTATTTAGGCTTTGTACTATATACGATTTCAAGTACAATTTTTACTCTTTCAAAAAGTCAAATCTGGTTTTATCTAGAATAAGGTTGTATTGTTGATGTTATAAAAATACCCTCAAAACTTCTTTCAGTGACATTTTTTAAAGTTATTTCAATGAAGAAAAACAGTATCTGCTATAAATTACTGTTTTAATTCATAATAAAAAAATTAAGTCCACATAAATGAAATTTTATACAGGAATACGGATAATACTATTAATTAGTACATTATTGTGGAAGAAGAGAAGAGGTTATCAAGTATTACTTCAGGAGAACATTTAAAAGAAAACATATTTATAAAATGTTAGCATGTTAAACAGACGTTTGACCTGGGTCAACCAGTATCACAGTCTGAGACATTGTCAGTGATATTTTTGGGTTTTGAGTAACCTCCTGCAAGAGTGATATTTTCATTGATTAGCAAACAACCTCATACTCTTTTGCTGCCTAGGGTATATGAGTATAGTCAGTGATTATCGAATTCTTTTTCATCATAGCGATTCGCCTTATCGATGAGTATCAATTACTAATCAATTTTGTAATATTTAATAAATCTTATCTTAATGTACACACAACCAACATAACAACTACTCTGAAACTTGGTCGATAGAAATTCAACCAAGAACCAAGACCAAACAATACGATGTTAGTTACTACTACTACTACTACTACTACTACTACTACTACTACTACTACTACTACTACTACTACTACTACTACTACTACTACTACTACTACTACTACTACTACCACTACTACTACTACTACTACTACTACTACTACTACTACTACTACTACTACTACTACCTGTTCTATCTTTCAAATGCATTATATTATTACTTGTAGTAAAGTCACTGTGTTATCAAAAAGTGTCCATCGATTCGTTATTCAATTAGGAAAAACATGTTTCAAAAAATACATTATAAATGATTTTATGATATTTTCTTTTGAAAAAAAACACCAATTAAAACGAATTACTTATAAAATTTCAGTAGAATTGTTATTAGATTTTTTTAGGAGGGAAATAATATGTGTAGTTGTAAAATATTTAGCCGTTTCCAATGGAGTTCAACCAGGTCCGTTGTGAGATATCAACTCACTGAAGACAATAGTGTACGGTGGCCCAACTTCGTGGATTGGTTGAAATTAGACATTAATACCGTTGGATGCCGGCTCAGTGGTCTAGTTGGTTAAGCGCCTGGCGCGAATCTCGCGGGGTGCGGGATCGTGGATGCGCACTGCTGAGGAGTCCCATACTAGGAACAAACGGCCGTACAGTGCTTCCACGTTTTCCATGATGGTCCAGCTTCAATTGACTCATGATTTCAATCTGTGAAATTTCTGAAGTCTCCAAAAACCCCTTCTGAAAATATTTAACTGTTTTCAGTTTTAAATTATTTTCTTACCAAGTTTAATATTTTTCTCCATGACACCAAAATTTTTATGTCAAAAGTTAAACTGTCACATTTTAAATTTGATGTATATGTAAATTAATTCTAGAATCTGATATAATTTAATATTCTCTTATCTGGGAACAAAATTACTACCAGAGTTTGTATGATACAATTACAATAACATCACTTCCGATAGTGTTCTAAATAATTCTATATGTGAGTGAATTATAAGAACTATAAATATTTAATCATTGTTATTATTGAATATATTTATCAAACTTTCCTTCATACTAACCTTTGAACTTTTATATGTTAAATGTTAGATAAATCAAAAATATATTGTTATTTAATGCATCATTTATCATTGGAAAATAAGTGTGAACATTGTTTTGAAAACAGAAATCTATAGAATGATGCCTAATTTCTACATAACCTGAAGAAGTTACAATTCATAATCATGGAATTTAGATAAAGAGATCTCATTCAATATTTTAGTAATATAATAACAGATGGGTTTTGTGTAGATCGTAGTCATTTCAATGGTTAATATCATGAGTCAGTTGAAGTTAGACCACAATAGGACGAAACGGCCGTTCAGTGCTTTCAGGTTTTCCATGGTGGTATAGCTTCAACTGACTCATGATCTTAACCATTGAAATTAATATAATAACATAATCGTATAATAAAAAAATCAATGAAGAACAAAAAAAACTTGAAAAAAAGGAAAATCGATAAAAGTAAATAGATACAAAATAAATAAACGTTTTTTTTTTCATTCATCGAAGAAGCAATACGTTTTTCAGCATAGTTTAAAGAAATGTTCAATGTTTTATTTTCTTTTATAGAAGAATTTTCATTTAGTAAACAATTTTAAATGTTTATTTTTAATGTATCTATTAAAAACTCATCAACTGTTTTGATAAAAATGAATCGATTATCGTTTTGTCATAATATTAGTGAATTTTGATTGAAACAAAAACAAAAGTGAGTTAGTTTTAGGTATTTAAACAATCTATTGATAGTTTTTGATTGAGATCATGAATTAATTGATGTTAGACCACCGTTGGAAACCTGGAAGCACTGGACGGCCGTTTCTCCCTAGTATGGGACTCCTCGCTAGTGAGCACATGTGACTAGCTTCGTGAGGGAATTCTCGGAGTTCTAGTGAGAAGTCGTGACCAGTGGAGCTAATCCGTGTAGGGTAGAGACAGGTATCTACCTCAGTACAATGGAAGGTGGTCGCGCAATTTCGTGGATTGGTTGATGTTAGACAATAACACCATTCGATGCTGGCTCTGTGGTCTAGTGGTTAAGTGCTCAGGCGCGAAGCTAGTAGGTCCTGGGTTCGAATCCCGCGGGGTGTGGGATCGTAGATGCGCACTGCTGAGGAGTCCCATACTAGGGAGAAACGGCCGTCCAGTGCTTCCAGGTTTCCAACGGTGGTCTAACATTAATTAATTCATGATCTCAATCAAAAACTTAGCAATCTCCACAACCTCATACTGACTATTGATAGTTATTGAGTTTAAATTTGAAATGTAACTATTTATTCAAGTTTTTTTATGAGTCAGACAATATTGTAGTGAACAGAACACGAATGGAAACAATCGAATGTATTTGAGTACAAAATTACAGGGTGTCTCAATAAAATCTGAGTAAGTCGTTAATTTGCAAAATATCAATCCATCTTCTCAAATTTGACTGTTCCTCTTTGCAAATATCAGTCCACTGTCTTAGATTTCATTGTTCATGTGTTTTTATATCAAATGCATTCCGTTTCTGTCCTTTCCTTATCGACCTACTGAAATACATTCTATGCCTGACCACCGTTATATACTACTTGTGTGGATATAAGTAACCAACACCACAGTATCACAGTTCCTCATATAAAAAACTTAAAATAGAGTACATAAAAATTTATTATGTAAATAAGTGACATTACATAACTTTAGTTAAGTGGACAAACTGTACATGGAACATCCAACTTCATTACAAATAGAATACAGTTTAGAATGTATATTTACTGAAGTGTTTACACGTAAAAGTTAATAAAATAAATAAATTAGCCTTGTAGTTAGGTAAAAATAAATACAAAAGCTAGATTGTATGATTTCCTGTTAACTGAATTCAAACAATTTAGCAAACAAAGTGAACCGTGAACTTGGCAATTACACAGGATATGTTGATATGTTAGCATATGTTCAATTTACACGAACAATCAATAATACTCATTGCGTATTGTCTTTTCTAATATAATTTCTTCCGGTCAGTAGTTTCATTAACATCATAGTAGATCAATGTATTTTTATGGAAAACACTATGTATATGCCATTCCATCCTTCCAACCATCTTCTATTTCAGTTTACGCAGGTGTAGGCAAATGTGTCAGATGCTCAAGTTACTTTATTTTATCACGATTCACAAACTTGTCAACCACTTTGCTATATTTACTTAGTATTTTTGTAACTTTCTAAAATATAAAATTATTATTTATCATTCATTTTATCACATTTTTCAGTTCTTTGACAGCTATTACTTTTAAAACTAATATCCTTTGTTTAGTTTGCTAGAAATTACTGCTGCCCCAAATTATAACCGTAATGAATTACGCCTAATCTAGCATATATATATATATATATATATATATATATATATATATATATATATATATATATATATAAAAGTAGCTCGGACATCTGACACATTTGCCTACACCTGAGCAAATTGAAATAGAAGATGGTCGGAAGCAAGGACTGTCAATTCTAACGATGTGACATTAACCTGTGGAGTTACTGTCTGTTGAACTAATCCACATGCGATGATTTACCATTATGATCTGTTTGGTCATTACGGAATTTTCAGAATTTAATCTGCTCAGAACAACATTTCACATAAACCTAGAAGATGAATGGATATTTTCAAATATGGTGGTCAAGTAATATCATAATTTGACTGGCATTTCAATGGTCTTAAGATATCGTAATGGGTATGAAACATAAAAAAGCTTTGTATTCGTAACATCATGAGTGTTTGGTATATCAGGAAAGTTCGAAAATGTTACATTCATTTTTAAAGTTGGGAAGAACATATACTCTCAATCTCCCTAATTTTTCTGGTTGGTTGGTTAGCCTTGTAACGAGTGTATTAAAATTGAACTGTATTATAAAACATCATTGTTGAATGCTGAAGATTTTCAAACTAATGTTAAGCAAATTCCTGTGTAATCGTGTTTCCAATATTTCTTCAGATGATGTTAGTTCATGGTGAAAATTCATTTCACACGTTTAAATTAATTAGTAATGAACACATCTTGTTTTACATATGTATATTTTATAATACACTATTCAGTGAAGTAAATATTTTGTACATAATTATAAATCAACAGTTAACCATAAGACTAATAGAAACAAACAAATGTTCAAATTTAGTTCACTTACTTTTCTGATAAAGCAAACCTAGGTAATCGTTTTTCTTTTGCATTATTCAAATAATCATATTTTGATGGATTATCTTTCAACATATAATTAGGTAGTAATTCCGAATAAATCAACATGATATGTATATGTCTAAATAGGTTTTTGTTAAATTATAAGTAGTTTAAGTAGTCATAGGTGAAAAGGAAAATTTTAAACAGGAAAATAGTAAATTACTATTTTAAGATGGTTTATTTTTCCAATGAATCCATTGGTCGCTTGATATGTAACATGAAACAGTTTAACTGATGATCAAACTACTCGCTGATTGGTTGATACGTTCCCTTGTTGTTGATTGGTTTACATGTTTAGATTGATCACAAACAATATGTTATTTAAAAGCAAATTGAAATGGACTCAATCTTTGCTGGGGATGAGTGGAGACCAAGCAAATCAGGTATATATGTGTTTGTGAATTAGATCAGTCAATATATATATATATATATATATATATATATATATATATATATATATATATATATATATATATATATATATATATATATATATATATATAAGATGTTTGCGTAATAAATCATGTTACCAACGGCTCCATTTTAAGTGAGGAAAATGAATAAAAAGGTAAGATAATGAGGACAGTCACACTATTACATAAATCATTACTCACATGTAGTAAAATAGGCATCGTATGCTATATGTTTAATTATATTAAAAAGAACTGAAATTAAAATGTAGATTGTTTTACTTTTAATCATGATGCGGTGTGTTATGTCATACCTACCTAATTTCAGAAAGAAATGTAGTTAGTAATTAGGTAGTAAACAAAATTATTGCACTCGCCTCAATACCACAGAATCTTTTCGCAAAAACACAGAAAAATATAAAAGATAATATGGAACAACTTTCAAATCGTAATAATAAATATCGATTCATTCTAAAATCATGTAGCTTCTATATATAAGTCAGACGGAAAACTTTCTTTGTAAACAACGAAACATGAAAATAAAAGAGATCAGAGGGAAAACTTACACTAAGAATAATGATTTTTGACACTATTTTTACCACGAAATCTCCAATAGTATTATTAATATTATAATACATTTAGACAAGTCTATCTAGTAATGCAATAAACGAGATACATCAAAAGTCATCGGATTGTTTAGACTTTGTCATATTACATTCAATACCTTATTCTATAAAATATACAAGTTTAGGAGAGAAAAAAATTTAGTTGATACATTTTTGTTTTAATCCTACATGTTTTTACCTTTGAACTACGTTTCTTTTTTGTTTGAATGAATTATTTAACTGTTTTTTTTTAATGATGATGAACAGTCCATCATTCATGAGTTTCTTAATAAAGAGTATGTTTAGTTAGTTTGTTTTTTTGGGAGTTTTTATATTTAAGTTTACATTAAAGTTGAAATAGTAGAGTTTTATTTCGTCAAATAAAATTGTATGGTATAATTGTGTAATGTATAATTAAGTATTAAAACCATCCAATTATTTTAAATACTATAAATCAAATCGAAAAGTTGGATTGCTAACTAACTATGAGGAAGTAATTTTACTGATATTATGGATGTAAAAAAATGCTTTTTATATGTTAGATGATAATCGGGTGATTAGATGTTTAAAATGAATTTCAACTATATAAATGAGTTTTTTTTAATCACATGTGTTTGAGAGATTTAAGACTGTTAATGAAGATATTGATATATGCCACGAAGGGTTATTCAATATGAAGTGGCTTTAGGTAGTGAGTAATAGCTGACGTAATCTTCTTGATGTTCAATGGTTTTCTACAGTAGATATCACATCGTAAGAGAAAGTACCTTCATCAATCCACAAAAAAAACACTTATTCTAACTATCAGTTTAAGACAATATTTATATGTTAGCGATTGTAGATGGATTATGGGTTTGAAGTATTTATCATGAATAAATGATCAATAACTATACTGATCAGTGAATTCAACATCTTTGTAACACTTGGCTTGATCTTCGAAACAAACATATGGTTACTGGTAGAACTAACCAGATTATTTACAGATTTATATTTAATTTTCAGAAGAATCAGACGCTATCTTGAGTTAAAAAGCTTTATGCTATGTACCAAGAAACGTGATTGCTTCTTATCGTCATATTCATGTACTCTTTCTGATCAAAGATTATCTTAGCCAATTATGTATGGCAAAAAACACATCATATTTAAATTATTCGGTTTATAAAACCATTATAAGCAATAGTGACATGATTTACGACATTCTAGTTACATGGACTATAGATAATGTTGAATAAAATCAATAATTCAGCAAAATAACGTTCTATACATAAATCTCACAGAATCTGTCAAGACTGTGTCAAATGATTCATAATATCACTAATGAACAACACGTTAGTAGATACATTTAGCTCTCCATCTCATTTAGGTTTTCACTATGAATATCTGGATCATTAAGACAGGAAATAAGACGGTCAAGCTTCAAACAAGTAAACCTATTATCAAAAGCAACATAAAGTTAGTATTTCACCATGATTTATTTCATAGTATTTTTGAAATGTCAATTAATTTGCTATTTTAGGAATAACTCATGAGAAACATTCTTATCTTGATACATCACTTTGGTGGCTTGGACATGTCCCACGAATGTCTACCTAGAGAATCCCTCGTCGTGCATTATTTGCTGACGCTGGAACTGGTTAGAAAAAGCAAAGAGATGGTCTGTGTATGACACGGTTTCATGGTATGAAAGAAAGCTGTACAGGATTGGCTTCTGTTGATCCTTCACCACTCCATGGTTGGGGTCCTAGAGGTGGTGCAACACAGTGGCTAGAGACATTATCAGATATGGCTCAGAATAGAAGCTAGTGGCGATCTTGCTGTAACTTTATTCTACTTCTTTATAAAAAGTGGACATAACTTCTTTAACTGGAAGAAATCTCTCTGGCTGTACTTTTGCTAACTGAACTGCTTCTCTGATAATCATTATTTTACTATCACACACTAATGCCTGCTCGTTATTGTTCAACTTCTTCTAATACGCACCTTACATACTTTATCTCTTCACATTCTCATTATAATTATGTGGCGCATATGTATCTGGTACTCTTTGTACCAATATTTATGTGTTTAAATAAATAAATAATAGCATTCTTATTACGTCAGTTCGTTTCACACCCCCACAAAGGAAAGGAAGTTTATTTTGTTTTGTATTTTCATTATTTCATGTTTAATGAATTTGTTAAGTATCCAGTAACCTTCAGATGCCATTTGATATTGATCAGTCATAGTGTATGTCAATTTTAACTATTTTTAATCCGGGTCTATATCTTTGATAAAGTTATGTAATTTTATTGAGAAAAACAAGAATATCAGAAGGATTTTTTGTTGAGATCATGAGTCGATTGAAGCTTAACCACCATGGAAAACCTGAAAACACTAGACGGCCGTTTCGTTCTATTGTTGGACGCGTCAGCAGTACGCGTCCACGATCCCGCCTCACGAGGTTCGAACCCAGGACCTATTAGTCTCGCTCGTGAACGCTTAACCACTCAACCAACCACTGAGCCCGCCGGTATCCAACAGTATAAGTGTTTAACTTCAACTAATCCACGAAATTGAGCGGCACATTCACTATTGTCATCAGTGAGTTACTAGCTCACAACTCCAGGAAATATTTCTTTGAGACCGTCACTAGTGTGTAGATGCTGAATAATATCAAAAGTGGTTTTTTGTGGATATTATTGTGAGGAGTCCCAAATTTTGACGAAATGGCCTTCCAATGCTTCCAGGTTTTCTATGGTGGTCTAGCTTCAATTGACTCATGATCTCAACTATTAAAATTAAAATATGAATAATTGTATGACAGTTTTGTATATCTGTTCATTCTTTGAGGATCTAGAAATTTTTTAGTTTTAGTAAGAACTAGTAACCTGATCATATTATACATCAGTGAGTGTGGATTAACTATTACTACATACAAATTATAAGTCTACTGATTTTTATGGTTTCTTACTATTCAAAACATGTTTTTTTCAGTTATTGTATATGTAACGCAGAAGCATAGATTTTTTTGGAAACCTAATCATTTTCCGTTGCAAAACATGTGACTCTAGGATGCTGAACTTAGGTTATTCCATTAAACTTATGCTTTTGTTGATAAGTAAATTTCGAAAATAAAATGTCTTATAATTTATACAATCACCTCAGTAATGCCTGTAGAGAGTATATGTGAAACGTATTATGGAGCCAAATAATAAAGTTTTTCTGTAAATAAAAAGAATAATAATAAAGATTGTTTAAAGATCCAAATGTTTATTCATGTTATTTTCAAGTGTTTTTTATGCGACTAAGCTAAGATTAAATGAGTCATCAAAATAAATAAAATGAAGCGTAAGTGGAAAACTATTAATTGCTATGTTGAACAACCTGTAAGGAATTGGTATATGACATCAAATAATGTGTAACATAGTGCATGTTACGGAAACATGCTTAAGAGATATATTTCATACACTGTAAACAAATTTCATTAAGTTATTTAGTTAACATCTATTTTATGTGCAAATTTGAAATTAACTGAGATACACATCCTACTACTAGTTGATAAGTAAGTAGTGTAGTGTGACCTACACAAGAGTATGTGAATTCAATATGATGGAGAACTTATTTGATGATGATCACATCAAATTAGAAAAGTATCTACTTTGTATCAACTTAGTGCAAATTTTATTCTAAGACGATTTGTTTCAGATGAAAGGCTTTGGATGCTAGAACGGACTGTCAGTAAGATATTTTACGCTGCCCAACTCATCATTATCGAAGAGTCACATTCAGTGTTTCACCTAAAAATTAAACAGAATGTTAACAGTTGTGTTGCACTCCGTTGTGTGTATGTCTCCCATGCATGTGTTTCTGCACATATATGAGGTAAAGCAATCGTGATTTAAGGTTAAGAGTGGATGAACACATACCTTAATGGTTACGGTATCAAATGACAAATATCTTACTTCGCAGAACATGTTTGAGACGGATCATAGGGTTGATATTAAGTCAGACTTAGTAGTGCTATAGAAAAGCGTGCATAATAGAGTTTATCAAAACCTTGGATTTACGAAAACTGAAACTACTTTTATGTCTTTAAAAGCAGTTTGATCTTAATCTTAACCTACCCTGTCAACAGTGATTTATTATCCAGCGTATTTTTCACATTGTTTTGACATCCTCCACTTTATCATCATTATGTTTGTTTCTTTTTATGTATAATATCTTAAGAAGTATATGTGTGATCAAAATGTTCGAAATGTATTTGCCAAATATATCACATAATTCTGTTAACTTTCTTATTATCATTGCATTATATAAATGTCAATATTGAAAAAATCTATAAAATATACTTGTAGTGTTTTATTGAATCTGCAAGTGTTGATCAAGCTAGTGGTTATCTGGACTTAATAGTTTGGGCTTTAACGTACTGACCTTTTGGTAAA